TATAAATTGCACATTCCTTAATCCTTGGGCTACCAACACCTCTTTTATTTCTCAAAATATTCTAAGAATCGGGATGGTTATTCAAATTGGCATTAACGGGTAATAAAAGCATTAATTTATTCAAATACGATAATACGATGGTATTGTTCATAAAGTATTCATATAATCTTCACTTTAGTTTTGGAAGAATAGGACGACTTGTTCTTCGCGCTTGTGTAAAAAATCCGAATGTCCGAGTTGTCGCTTTGAATGATCCATTCATGAGTATTGAACATATAGTGAGTAAGAAAATATAAATTTTATTCACACAATTTAAAATGATCGTTATTTTCTGCTAAAGAAAGTAATGGTGGCTCTTAATCTCTCACTGCTACGTGTTTTGTGGCTTTTTCAAAATAAAAAAATTTACTTTAAAATTATTATCCGTGATGCGCGTAAATTGACTATTGTTGTATAGTTAGGCGAAACCTCGAAGTTCGCGCTGACGAAACGCGAAACCTAGCTTCGTCTTTCGTCAATTAAAATCTTAAATGACGAAACGACGAAACTGACGAAAGGCTAGGTTGGCCAATGGACCAAAATGTAGCTTAGCAAATGCCAATGGGTTATGTCCATTGGCTCAATGGACAATATCCATTGACAATTTATTCAGAAACCATCATAGTCCATTGCCAACCTTGACGAAAGGTGACGAAACCGGCGAAACTGCAAAGGGTGATAAAACTAATAAAAGACGAAGATACAGATAAATGTTGTTGAAACTCATCGAAGATAATGTGAATGAAAAAATAAACTATCAAAAGCAGAAATTTATAAAATTACAAAAAAATTTATCATAAAATAGGCACTTGAATTGTTTAAAGGAAGTTAGGAATGAGTATTCTATATCGTATTATATATATTAGTCACTACATATCAGCTTTAGTGAGAAATCATTTGGTGCTTACTTTGCGGTATTACAAATTTATTGTGCCAGTATGTTTATTTCATTATCTGTTATTCCATGAGTACTATGGCTTTTTGACAAGGTTATTTCAACTGGTCTATAACAACCCTAGCGTTGCCCAAAAAAAATGAACTGGAATATTTTGCTGGCTTACATGTAATTTCGGATACTGTTCTTCGGATAAATTATGAATTTTTATTCAATGAAAATATCTTTTTTTTTAGCGGGAGCACTAGGGTTTCGTCATTTTAAATTTAAGGTTTCGTCTTTCATCAGATTTGGGGTTTCGTCTTTCGTCATCATGCGAAAAGGTTTCGTCTAACAACTATATATTGTTGATCGAAACATAAATGATAATGTATCTCTGAAAAACGAATCATATTTCTACATATACAGCTTTACTTGTTTAAATATGATACTATCCATGGACGCTACAAAGGTCAAGTCGAAATTAAAGATGGAAAATTACTTGTAAGCAATTACGAAATTTTTGTTTTTGCTGAAAAGAATCCCCAGGATATCAAGTGGGGAAAAGTAGGTGCCGACTACATAGTTGAATCCTCCGGTATTTTCAAAACTACGGAAAAAGCATCGCTTCATTTGCAAGGTATATATTATTTAACTCATTTTTTCTAAATCGAGTAAAGAAATTATAGTAATTAATATTTTATTGAATTCTTAGGGGTATGCGAAAGTTCTAAATCAACTCTTGTTTATCTTTTGTAACCTTGTGATTTTATAACTTTATTATTAT